CGCGATTCGGTGCGTTATTTGGGGCACATCGTGGGGCGCTCAGGTATTGCTACCGATCCCGCCAAAACGCAGTGTGTCAGCTCCTGGCCGACTCCCACCTCGGTGGGAGAGGTCAGGAGTTTCATTGGCTTCGCGTCGTATTACCGACGGTTCGTCGCTGATTTTGCGACGATTGCCAAACCCCTACACGCTTTAACATCAAAACGGGTTCGGTTCCACTGGGGTCAGGAGGAGGAGGCTGCTTTCTGCTCCCTTCGGGACACCCTGGTAAAAGCTCCTCCCTTGATTTACCGATTTTTCGAAACCGTTTTTGCTCGACACCGATGTGAGCAACACGGGTATTGGGGGCGTGCTTTCCCAGGTGGTTGACGGCGTGGAACGGGTGGTTGCGTACGGCAGTCGGGTGTTGTCTCCAGCGGAGCAAAGATATTGTGTCACCCGTAGGGAACTGTTGGCAATTGTCTATTTCATCCAACAGTATCGCCCATATCCGTACGGTCGGCATTTCACCGTCCGCACAGATCATGCGGCACTGCAGTACGCCCTGCGAGTTCAACAGCCATCGGGACAATTGTCCCGATGGTTGGAGATCCTCCAGGATTTTGATTTCGAAACCACCTACCGTAAGGGCGTTCGCCACACCAACGCGGACGCTCTGTCACGCATGCCAACCACCTCCGAATGCGCATGCCTCCTGGGGTCGGGACGTTGCAAGCCAGCAGGGGACATGCCGGTTCCGGTCCTGGCGGCCGCCGCCGACGACAAAACAGTTGATTCCAAATTCTATCGCACATCAGGGAAAAGATTCCCTGCTGGGTTTGCCCGTTAATGAATGGGGGCGCCTCCAGATGGAGGATACCTCCATCCTCGCGTTGCGTCGTCGCGCCGGGGAGGCGGGGCGGGGGACGGGTGATGCCGACGCATGGGAAATGCACGCGGGGTTGCTGATGCATTGGGACGGGAAATCCCATCGACACCAGCTGGTGGTCTCTTCTGGGTTACAGGGTAGGGTGGTGTGGGCTGCTCATGAGCGCCTCCTCCACCTGGGTACCCAAAAGACCCTCGCCTTGCTCCAGCTTGATTTTTTTTGGCCAGGCATGACGAGGGATGTCACAGATCTGTTGGCATCATGCCCTCGGTGTGCGCAGCGGAAACCACCAGCACGGGAGTCAAACCCGTCTTTGCAGTCTATCAGGGTCTCCAGAGTGAACGAACTTGTCGCGCTGGATATTCTGGGCCCATTCCCCGCCACCCCTAGGGGCAATATATATTTGTTGACCGGGGTGGAATACTTTACGTGCTGGCCTATGGCCTGGCCCCTGGCCAACCAGTCGGTAGCAGCCATCGTGGAGGCCTTTGTCCAAGGTTACATCATGGACAAAGGTGCTCCGGAGCGGCTGCTGACCGACCAGGGAAACAATTTTTCCGGCAAACTCCTCCAACAGGTCTGTGAGCTCCTGGGAACGAAAAAAATTCGTACCTCTCCCGATCACCCGCAAACTGACGGGATGGTCGAGTGTCTGCATCGAACCATCACGTCTAGGTTGTCGCAGCAGGTTTCGGACTCACAGACCGATTGGGACTTGCAAATTCAAGTGGTCCTGGCAGCATACAGATTGGGCCCCCATGCTGCGACGGGATTTTCACCCTTCTTCCTCATGTATGGCCGCGAACCTGACCCACCTGTTCGGGCACAGCTGCAGATCCCCGCGCCGCTGGGTAAAACTAAATTGGCCGAACCATGTTAAATTTAACCTTGCAAAATTGACTGAGGCACGGGATGCTGCAATGCTAAATTCCGACAGGCGTCAGAAAGTGAATGAGCGCCTCAGACTGGGTCGCGCGCACGTGCTACAGTGGAAGCCGGGGGACAGGACATGGCTGCACTGTCCCCAGGTACCACTCGCGACCTCCTCAAAACTGGTACGGCCGTGGCGGGGACCCGTCGAGGTGGTCGAGGTTTTGCGGCCTCAGTGCGTTCGCATCAAATGGGGGAAGCGCCGGTGGTTTGTGCACCCCTCTAGGCTGAAACCATTCATTGCGGTGCAAGGCCCCACTCCACACACGCGTGGCCAAACATGTGGGGGGGGGGGGGGGGGGGGGGGGGGGGGTGGGGGGGGGGCCGGCCGACTCAAAGGGTCCGTCTCTGCTGCCCTCGCCTGACGTGTTGCCGACTGTCCCGCCCCCAGGTGCACCAGGAATGACGGGCTCACGCCCAACAACCCCTACGGGGGATGCCGAGGGTCTCGCGACATCAAGCACAGACTCGCTTCTAAGTGGACAGCTGCCACCGGATGGTCCGCCATCCAGGGTTGCCCCGTGTGACGGGCCTGCGGCAAGGACGCGCGCAAGAATGCGCAGACTCTTGTGATGCACAAAGAAAATTTTTTTTTTTCTTCACGTGTATGGTTACTGTGCGCTGCGTCGGTGGTGTGCTCCTGGCACATTGTGTTTTGTTGTGTGTGTGCTGGGGGTTCCTTGCGATTTGTATATACGTTGCTTTTACGGAATTCGTATTTATTTGGGGGGGGGGGGGTGCGTCGGGTTATTTTCCCTTCGGGGTTTTCTGGTTCTTGTTGTTGTTCTCTTCACGTTATGGTTGAAAAAAAAAATGTTGAGGCACACGCGGGGGTCAAGGGGTAAATAAACCTTTATTGGAATTGTTGCAGCCGGGACGGCTGCGAGCTGTACAGGGGGGGGGGGGGTGATGTAGGGCTGTTACGGAGGGGCTGTATGTGTAGGGCTGTATGCATAGGATCACACGGGAAACAAACAGTGGGCGGGGCTCCTTGAGTCCAAGGAGAGGTGCCCGCAACGACGTCCGCACCAGGCAGCCTGGGGGGTTGCCCGGAGTTGTGATCCTCCGGGGGGTATAAATGGGGATGAGCCGGAGAGCTCGGGGCAGTGTTATAGCAAAAGGAAGGAAGACGGAAGATCGGCTAGCTAGAGCCCTGGACTCCCCTGGGACGCCGCCCTTGTCAGGGCCGCGCAGGACCGAGCCAGCGGCGTGGTCCCGTGAACCAGAGTTAGTACTCTGGGACTCCGGGTACCGTAGCCCGACTGACCAGTGTCAGGCCAGATAGCCTCCCCCAGCCCGTTAGTGGAGGACCAGGAGGTAGGTTAGGGGTAGCTAGCAGAGTATCCCCAGCTATCCGGGTGAGGGGGCCGATACCCCCCTCTAGTATTGTATGTCCACAGTTGTGACTACTTGTACGGAATAAATACGTGTGCCTCAACAACGGTGTCCAAGAGTCATCAACGGTACTTCAAATGTATGGGGGGAGGGGGGCTTGTCTCTAATTTACGTTTATTTTGTGTTTGCAGTCTGTTCTCCTGTAACACGTGTTTTCGGAACGCAAATTGAATATAACACTATTAATGTATTTGGGAAGACACATTTTTATTCCGTGGATGCACATTGGATATACAGGGACTCTACTTACGAACAAGTTTGGTTCCAGAGGTCTGTTCGTCAGTCTATTTGTTCTTAAGCCCAACTTTACCCCTGTCAATTCCAAACATGTTGCAAGGCATGTGTACTAAACACGGATTGTCTTAAAAAGTTGTATAATCTCCTGTAGATGGAAATGCCACGGATTGATTTGAAGCTTTCGTGACTGCAGACGTTCCACTGCTGGATTCATTTTTCTGACTGAGGACGACTGTGTTGCAATCGAAACGTCGTGATATTTTATATATTCTTGGTTCTTTCGGTGACTTTACCGAAAAGAACCAAGAATATGAATCCCTGCAGTCACGAAAGCTTTAAATCAAAATATTATTTTTTGTTTTATTTTATTTTTCTACCTACGTGACTTTACCGAAAGAACCAAAGAGTATGCCACCGATTCTTCATGTTCTGCAGGTGTAGATGTTTATTCGCTTTGGCGCTCGTGTTTCCGTTCTACTCTTGAACAATTTACCAAGAGATGTCTGCACAGTCACTCTTCTTCATCATAAATCAACTTGTAACAGGCAATAGTATCGTGAATAGCTGCCAACACTTTAGTAAACATTTCAGTGTTTGGGTTTTGAGATTCAAAACTAATCAGTGATTGATAAACCACTGCCATTTGTGGTTGTTGAACGTACGACTCTCGGTCCAAACGGGCAACTGGACAGAATGACAGGTTGGTTCGTATCTCTGAAAGTTCATAAGTCGAATGTTCATAACTAGAGGAGTCCATTGAACGCGATTTGAGCGAATGGAACGATATCGCGCGAGTAGGAATAAGCGGTCGTAATGCTGCCTCGGCTTAGCATCACAAAAAGGTACTGGAGTGCTGCTGGATAATTCTCGATGCCATCCACGTGCCGTAGTCTGTGTTAAGCCCGAGTACACATCTCACGCGTTATCGAGGACTGCTTTACCCGATATTATATATTAAAAAATAACGCGATGTTTCCATAACGCGGTATTCAGTAATGCAACTTCTCCAGCATTATAGGATAACAATGTATGTATGTTTAACTTTTTTGGCACCGTACGAAGCCAACCATGGTAATCGGAGGTGCGGGGGAAGGACAACAAACTAAATGAACAAACAGTTTTGTACAAAGGTAATCAAGGTTGTTATTTCATTTAGAGAATCAAGATCACAAATATTACCCAGTTAGAAATCAGCAGTGTTCCTTCTATGACGAAAAATCAACCCAGGATTTCTACACTGCTGTAAGAAGGCCTTCCCAAGTGGTATATAGCTCTGTCTTGAGTTCTAACAATCCATTTACCACCTGCACATGAGCTCATTAAATTGCTCAGCCTCTAAGGCAGATGTTCTAATGGAGGTCTTCTTTGCCGGCAACTTCATTGTTAGTCTGGAGAACTGGTCACGCTGCATTATAACCATGACGTACCCTGCGCATGTGAATATTAAAACTTCCTCAATGCTCTCCAATTCAGTGCAAGCCTTAACCCCCCCACCTCAAAACTTGAAAAATGCCAGAGGTGCTTTGACAGCCGTCATAACTGACCGAATGCTGGCCAACCCCAGTTGAGTATTTGTTTTGCCTGAAGGCACTTTTCGGCATTCTTCTTTCCGTAAAGAGGCTAAAGCTACCTCGTGATCAACCTCAGACCCACTTATAGCCAAGTTCTCAATGTGGTGTCCAACACAAGTGAGGAGGTCGGAGAGGTGAGCAAGCACTGGTGCAGTATTACAATTTCATGTTTAGTTCAAAATGCAATGTGTTAACGTAGATATTTGTAGTTATGCAGCTTATGTAGTTATTCGTAGTTATAAATAGCACTGTGTAGATTTAACTAAACATTTGTGCCGTGTCTACCACTTTTAACTCGTCTATAAGAGCACCATCATGCACCCGTCCGAGAAACGCTTCCATATACAGCCAAGTGTAATTCTCGATTTAAAGCTTTCATGACTGCAGGGATTCATCTTCTTGGTTCTTTCGGTAAAGTCACGTAGAATGGAAATAATAATTTAATAAAAATAAAACATAATAAAATAATTCTCACGACGTTTCGGCCACAACGCAAGCAGCAGTCCTTAGGTGGAGAACAGGTCTGTCGAGGAGAGAGTGAATGACAGCCCCAGGCTTGGAGCGACTATTTAAGCTGGGATGGAGGGGACAAAATAATTTGCATATCAAGAGGAATTTAGCATATTTATGGGAAATGCAGATATGCGATTAGGACTACTTGTGAAATGCGTAGGAGGTTTGGAGAGGGGTTTAAAGTCATTATGCAGGATTAGCAGCATCAAAGGGAGGGGAAAGGGGTAGCATTAATAAAAGGAAGCAGTGTTAATAGTATGTAGCTGCAGTAACTAAACCACCACGTAAACAACTAAAGTTTAAACTACATAGTATCATTAGTATACTAAATATACTCCACAATAAGCCTGGCTACTAACAGTAAGTAATACATTACAATTCTACGTCGCAAAAAATATAATATGCTTCCATCTAAACTTTATTCTCTTACATCACACAAGTCTACACCCTACTATATACTGCCATAGACAAACCCAACATTAAATTATATACTGTATTGCAAACGAAGTTCACATACAAAATACACTACACACCCCATTTATGCACAACACTACATTATATATTACACCACTTCTACAATGAGAACCAATTTCTTTAGAACTGCTGGTTGCTGTGTTTAGTTTGTCCTTCCCCAGAACCTCCGATTAGTGTGGTTGGCTATTGTACTGTCTGAAAGAAGTTCAACATGCATACTTGTGTGTTCTTTCTCACTTCCAGCAAAAGTTTAGCCCAAAACCGTTTGGACATGGGCCGCGTGGTGCCAACTTCCCGGCTTTTGTCCGGATCAACGCAGCTGCTACTGACGGTGCTGATGCTGGCCACGGTAAACTGAACAAGGGTCAAAGCGTCCCAAGGCTTGAATAATCTGAGACTCATTTGTTTGGAGGTTTGTTTGAGTGACTGATAGGGACGCTACCGCTATGTAAATGGTTAGCCTACTGGGCTTGCAATTCACACCTCGAAGATTTGATCTCCTGCCGCTGGCAATTTTAACACCGACCATTTCTTGCACGATGGTAGCCCATATGAGCGCTCATTCAGGCTCAATTCTGCTTTGCTACTGAGATACACTACTGTCCCATCCGGTCCTCTATGCTCCCAGTCTCTACAATCTTTTCCTGTACCACCCTTCCCACCCTGCATGCAGTCTCGCTCTTTCCTTCTCCCTTCTCTCTCCTCCACCGAAACCAACTCCTACTGCAGTACACAGAACATCATCTTCACGAACCGGCTTCTGTTCTTCCCTTAAAACAACCTCCATTTCTTCGCCGCTATTCCATCTTGCTAATGCTAATCCATGCCCCAGCTTACAACCAGGCCTACCCCAACCCTTATCACTACCCCAGCCACTACCCCAACCCACAACTACCCCTAACACTACCGCTATTACTACCCCTTACCCCTAGCACTACCCAGCCCTATCACTATCCCTTCTGTTGTATGTGGAGGTTCTCACAGTATGTATATTTATTTTAATAGATTATCGCAAGCTCGTGTCTCGGGGTTCTCTTGCATAAATAAGACCTTTCTCCACTGGTTATCAGGTCCATACATCTGTAGTGTGCTAATTCACATACACTAGTAGGAGGTACTTTTATTCCGGCCTTTACAGCTTTAGGGGATAACCACACACCGGGTCGGGACAGCCAACATGCTGCCAGACCCACAACTCGAAGAGGGTGAAGATCACAACGACGATGGCACGACTAGTTCCACTCCAGATCACAGCAACCCTGATTGAGTCGGAGCTCGCCTTATAACCTGAACCGTGTGCCCAGGCTCCGCCCTGCACCCCCCTGGATCCCCAGAGGGCTCCGTGCATTGCCCACAGGTGCAACTGGTAGAACGGGCTGTTACCCCTAATTCTATTGTCTACCAATCTCCCAGCGGCACACGCTACAGGGACTCATTCCACATCACTACATCACCCCCTCCGCGCGAAAAAAACAGCTGTCCCCGCTGACCTCCAAATGTCGCGTAGCAGGACGACGAACACCGCAATATCCACGCAACATTTGAATTCTCTCCCGTACATAAAAACGTGGAGAATCCGGTAGAGGCAAGAGGGGGCATGCTATAGGCCACAAGAACTCCTAGAACGAGTAGGTCCCAATTGGACTGTGCCTCGTTGACACAACATGGACGTACAGTAAGTGTCCTATGTAAACACTCTACCATCCCGTCTATCTGGGGATGTTAGGGCGAGGTTCGAATTTTCTTCATACCCAGCAAATGACATACCTCTTGCAATAATTTTGAAGAAAAATTTCGGCCCTGGTCCATGAGTCGCAGCTCCGGGCACCCTTTTCCAATACATAATCATGCAAGAACGCATCCATAATGGACGCCGCTGAATGATCCGGTAGAGGCCATGCAACCGGCCACCATGACAGGTACTCTACCCCAACCAGCAAGAATTTATTTCCCCTTGGAGTGGTGGGAAATAGCCCGAGGATGTTGAGGCCAACGAGCTCGTTTACATGGGACACCCCAATGGACTGCAGCGGTGGTCGGGTCAGTCTCAGCAGAGGCTTTCGGCAGGCACATTCTATACATCCCTTGAGCATGTTGTGAATGGCCACCGTCATCCCGGGCCAAAAGAAGTCCCGCTTCAACGTAGACAACGTTTTCTGCACCCCAAGGTGCATCAATCGCACATGAACAGCTCTCATTACTCTACCCTGCAGAGCAGTTGGCACCACGATACCGTACCTCTATCCCAGCGCATAAGTAGCCCATCTCAAAGAATCATGGGGGCCATACCCCCTGGACTCTTCTAATCACTTGGTGCATAAACACGGCACCGTAACTTTAGAAAGGAGGCATCCTCATTCCTCGTGCGCAAGACCAATAGTATTAGCACGTGCCACCTCCGGTATGGGTGGCGGAGCATCTACCGATGCAACCACGGTGCCCGGCTCGCCCGTATCCACCTTCTTACAACGGCCAGCGCCCATCAAACGTGCACACTGGCTCTTCGGCGATAACCGTGACAAAGCATCCTCGCTGCAGTGGTGTAAACCTTTCCTATAGGCGACTTTGAATTAATAATCTTGCAAGATTTCCAACCATCGCGAGAGTTGCATGGACGGCTGTTTAACGCGTAGCATGCATTGCAAAGCCGCGTGATCTGTGCGCACTATAAACTGCCTACTGTAGAGGTACGGGCGGTACTGTTTTACAAAGTGCACGATAGTCAACAACTCGTGGTACGTAACACAATAGCACTGCTCTGTGGGGGACACCACCCGGCTACCATAAGCGACCACACTCCACCCCGTTCTCCATCTGCAACAGCACGGCACCGATCCCAGCATCACTGGCGTCCGTATCCAACATAAATGGAAAGGAGAAATTGGGGTATCGAGCGGAGGTGCGTTCACGAGGCCGTCGCCCAGCGTAACAAATGCGGCATCCTCCTCCATCCCCCACCAAAACCTTTGGCCCTTTTCCATGAAAATGTGGAGTGACTTCCCAATTGTCGCAAACCAGGGCATGAAGCGGCGTTAATACAACACGAACCCCACAAAACTGCGGACCTCACCCACCGATGTGGGGGTAGGCCACTTATGCATGCAGTCCTGTCAGGGTCCATGGCGATCCCGGACTCACTAACAATGTGCCCCAGGTATCGAACCGATGTTTGCAAGAGGTAACATTTTTGCAGCTTGAATTTCAAAATAGCCGCTCGCATTTTAACAAATACCACACGCAACCACTGCAGATGTTCCTGAAATGTGCGGCCAAGGACAATTACGTTATCCAAATAGATCAAATATGACTCCCATTGGAGCCCCGACAGTACCAACTACATAAGTCGCTGGAACATGGCCGGAGCTGAGTGAAGCCCCATCGGAAGCATGTTTAATTGAAACAGCCCTTGGTGTCCGGAACGCAGTTTGGATTTTGAACTTTCATCCAGGGGCAACTGCCAAAACCCTCACAATAGATCCAGGGTGGAGAAAAACTGTGCTCCTGACAGGGCATCCAACAAATCATCCATCCGTGGGAGTGGATACGCATCCACCACAGAGACCCTATTCAATTTCCCAAAGTCCACACAGAACCACAAACTCCCGTTTTTCTTTTTAACCAGGACTATGGGAGCACCCACGGACTGGTTGACGAAGAGATTATACATCGGCGTCCAACATCTCGTCGACCGCCTGATGAATATCGTCATTTTCCTTCGGACTAAACTGAAATGAGTTCTGACGAATGTGAGCGGAGCCACCCATATCAATATGGTGACGCATCAGGGACGTGCGGCCCACATCGAATTTACCCATAATAAATACATCGGAAAATTCCCGAAGCAGAGGCAAGGTCCCCCCTCCACTGGTCCCGTCATAGACCTGCTCCGACCCACCCCCGTGGGCTCCAACTACCCGACGTGCAGACCCAAGGAGACTCTTGATGCTCCTGGTCACCATTTCCTCATGGAAATCCAACCCCGGCTGCCACCCCAGCACGTGATCGCAGGTTAGTGGGCTTGAATGCATCTGGCTACCCGAATTGAGGACAGGTCATCCTGTGGCCGTCAAAAAAAACATAAAATTTCCTGAGCCAGCGCCAACAGTTTCTCTAGCACCAGAGAATCCAGTCCTGCCCCGTCCATCCTTGGTTATGGATCCTAGGCCAGCGACAGTAGTGCACTGCGGAAGGCGAGGGGCGTCTCAGTCTCCCCCCGACTCTGCATGACGAATTTCTGCCACACGTTGGACAGCAGGTCACAAATTGCCATCAACTGGCAATACGCCTGACACAGCATCGTTCTGTCCACCTTGGGAACGAAAAAAAATGCCACCAAGGCTGCGTCGTCCAGCGCAGTAGGAAGACTACGTAATGCCTCCACAATGGACCACCCCGCAAGCTCGCAAGTGGTAGAGAACCACTGCCGGACGACTGCCCAATCACCGCCCATAGCCGAAAATAGTTCGAGAAACGGCAGCCGCTGCACGAGGGAAGGCGCCCCCGGACAAGCCATCAGTGGTAGATTATTTTCTGCGCGACTCGATACCTGCCCTTGTTCGGCAGTGACGGCGGAGTTGTCCGTTCGCTTCCCCCCGATTCGCAGCCCCCTCCACTGGCTCTTCCTTGCCCAGCTGCCCCACCAGCGCTGTAACCGCGGAGAGCAACTCCACAATGCACGTGCAGAGTGCCTGCAGCCCTTCTCCAGCCAGCTGTGGCGAGGGATCATGGTGCTTCACCTGCTGCCCTGCCGGGACTGCCACTCCGGGAACCCCTGCCGGGGTCTCAACTGCCGGGGTTGCCCAAGAACCATCTTCGCCGTCGTCCTCTTCATCCAAGGACATGCCGATGAGAGCCTTCTTCTCCGCGAACTTCGACATAATCTATATCCCCCTCAAGGATTCGAAAGGAAAAGAAAATTCCTAACAACCCTACAATATATATATAAATATATTTTTCGTTAACACTCCTGACACCAAATGTAGTGTGCTAATTCACAGACACTAGTAGGAGGTACTCTCTTTTATGCCGGCCTTCACAGGCTTAGGGGATAACCACACACTGGGTCAGGACAGCCAACATGCTGCCGGACCCACAGCTCGAAGAGGGTGAAGATCACAACGACGATGGCACGACAAGTTCCACTCCAGATCACAGCAACCCCGACTGAGTCGGAGCTCGCCTTATATCCTGAACAGTGTGCCCAGGCTCCGCCCTCGGCCCTGCACCCCTTTGGATCCCCAGAGGGCTGCGTGCCTTGCCCACAGGTGCAACTGGTAGAACGGGCTGTTACCCCTAATTCTATTGTCTACCAATCTCCCAAAGGCACGCGCTACAGTGACTCATTCCACATCACTACACATCTGTCCAGCAGTTTCGGGGTTTTTCAAGCAATTCGACTCAAGAAATAGAATT